TTTTTTTTTTTGAGAAGGGTAATGGTTAAAGGTGTTAGTGTGTTAGATATGTTAATGTATAAGTAGGGTATTGAACCCAAGATATGGGATGCAAACTAAGATCTACCTCAAATGACAACAAGTGGCCGTTGCATCACGCATGTGAAGTATGTAAGGATGTAGTTCTTCTTTGGTCAAAGAATGTCTTCTTTTTTCTTTTATTGTTAGCTAAGGTTATTATCAATGTAATTTTTATTAAATCACTAATTTAATTGTTAATAATTAATTATAATATTTAAAATATTTATTTATAAATTAATTTTAATTTGTTAAGTAATAAATATTAATTATTTTATTATTTATTAATTATTTTTAATTGTTAAATTTTTTTGAATAAATACAAATTTATAAAGAGAGATTTAAATTCTATACCTAAAATTTGAGATACACATTTTGTAGAAGTTTATTAATCAATTGACCTTTTAAGTTAGGTGTGTTTTTAATTATTAAATAAAAATAAAATAATTGATAATTTTTAATAACGTTAATAAAGTTATGGTAACCATTACCCTTTTCCTTGAACACTGAGAAATTGAAAGATATAGGGGGTTGGAGAAATTGGAAGATAGAGTGGGTGATTACAATAATGCTGCAGCTGCGGCTCAAAACCTTGACAAAGGCAGTTGGCCTTATAGGTGATGAGCAAATGCATGACGCATGCTGCTGTGGACATGGGCATGAGTTGCAAATGTGAATTAAATTAGACGACCAACCTAACCGGCTATGGTTTCTGTTGTCATAAATTTTGTCAGTACTATTAAAATTATCAAATTTTAATTTTAATTTATTAAAACTAATTATTAATTATTGTTAATAATAATAATAATAATTGCACTTAGACCTTGATGTCAGACCACATATAAATGCATTCTTTTTTTTTTCAGAATAACGGTTTGAATCCGACTCCTTATAAATTTGTTCAAAAAAAAAATATTGTTAATAATTAAATTAAAATAAATTTATAAATAGATATTTTAAATATTATTATATAAATAATTATTTAAAAATTATAAATTAATAAAATTATAAATTCTAACAAAATTAATTAATGGTAATAGTAACCTCACCCAACCTAACCCAACAGAGACTCATATGTAGAATTAATCAGAATATTCCACAAAAATATTCACCACTGGGCAGGCACCATCATTATTAAATTTTCTGTTTGTCACATGTTACAACAAAACAAACTATCAAAATCTGAAAAGATAGAAAAAAAATACGGCCAATGAGGTTGTATTAGTTTACTGATTAAATTAAACAGGTTGTTGAGACTTTGAAAAGTCTAATGTATGATTGAATTCCATATTCTCCAAACACTTTGGTTTTTGGGAAAAAAAAGAAAAAAAAGAAAAAAAAGCAGAATCTTATACCCAATACTCCGGCTTCATTTCAGAGCGCTCAGTTACAACGATGGCGATGGTCGTAAGTTTTTGGGTTAAAGCTAAATATGGTCCCTCTACTTTCAATTTTCATTCATTTTTCTCCCCATACTTAGAAAATCATTCAAAAACCTCCTTTTACTCTTTCAAAACATACTATTATCCTCCTTCCACTTTAAGTTTTTATAATAATTTCCTCCCTTGTCTAACACTCAACTAACACTGTTACTAACACTCAACTAACACTGTTACTAACTTTCACTAATACTGTTATTAACTTTCATTAATAGATGCTTTTTTTACCATTAAAGTTTAACCCATTCATTCTTCTATAATTTTTTTTTTGTTGAATTACATTGAGTGGTCCCCACAAATTTCCATGTTAGCAGCCATGGCCAGATTAGCAATATATGGGTGCCAAATCATGAACCCTTCCCACCAATCTTGGACAAATACCAAAACGTTAGCAATAGAATTTATTTTACAAATAGTACAAAAGAATCAAAGAATAAATTATATTACTCTTAAATAAAGAAAAAAAATAAACTTTTAATTATTTCATCTAATTAGCAAAATTTTTTATTAAGTTAATGTGAATTTTTTTATGATGAGTTAATGCAACAAATAAAAATATAATAATCACTTTATGTTATTAAAAAAAAAAAAGAAGTTGAAACTAATTAAATAAATTGTAATTAAAAACTGCAACAAAAAATTGAAAATTTATAATGGATAAATTTGTTAATAAAATTAAACAATTCCAATTAACTAACAATTTAAAATTAGTAGATAGCCATTAAAGTCCAAACTACTAAAAAAAAAAAATTCATCAAACACATAGTTTGTAGTGGCTTCAAAATAAATAAATTTTCTAAACACCTATATATTCCATAGCAATTTGAATAAAACTATTAACCATTATTTCTAAATCGTTATACCAAATGGGTCCTAAATTTTTATATCTTAGCAAATTAAAATAATTTAAACTAAAATAATTTAAATTTACCTATTTGATCCACTCAACAAGTTATACATACATAAAGAGTTGATGATTTGGCGCCCATATATTGTTGATTTGGCCATAACATGGAAATTTGTGGGCTCACTTAATGCAATTTAACAAAAAAAGTTATAAAATAATGACTATATTGAACTTTAACAGTCAAAAAAGAATCTGTTAATGAGAGTTAGCAATAGTATTAGTGAGAGCTAGTAACGGTGTTAGTTGCGTGTTAGCTAAGGGAGGTAACTATTATGAAAACTTAAAGTAGATAGTATGTTTTGGGAGAGTAAAGGGAGGTCTTCGAATGATTTCTAAGTACAAGGAGGACAATAAACAAAAATTGAAAGTAGAGGGATCATAGTACCCTAAGTTTTTTGATATTTTAATATCTAAAAAATATATATTATGAAATTGATTCCATCTTAAATCAACTCTTTCATTACATCTGTAAAGGTTAAAACCTTATTTTCCTTTTATTTTAGTAAAAAGTTTTTTTTTTTAAGTTTCTCTGCTTACAAAAGCTCATTTTTTATCCCAAAATTTAAAATTTGGTTCGCTTTTAGTTCCTTTGTTATTTTTTATACATGTGGCATGTTAGATGAACAAAATTCTAAATCAGATGGACTAAAAAGAGACTAAAAAGAGTTCCCTTTTTGTCCATCTACCTAAAAAAAGTCTCTTTTTGGTCCCTTTATTTCAAAAAAAAAGCTTCTTTTTAGTTCATCTATTTTGGAATTTCCATTATCTAATGTGACATTTATGCAAAAAGATAACGGATTGACTAAAAATGTGTCAAATTTTAAACTTTAAAAACCAAAAAGGAGTTTTTTTTTTTAAATTGAGGGACTAATTATTAAAGTAAAGGGACCAAAAAGAAATTTTAACCCAACAGAAACTGAATTTTCTTTTTTTAAAAAATCAAACAAAATTACTTCAACAAGAATGAAAAAAATTTAAATAACAAAACTTATGCTATATATATATACTTTTTGAACAAACTAAAATTAGCACAAATTTAATTACAGGGGATTTGAAAAAAAGATTTCGTAAAGTTTGAACATATAACTCATAAAAAGTAATTCGTCCTAACCTAGGGTTAAAGTCATTGGACCAGAGCATGAGAAGCAACTTATGCTATCTATTATCCTCTCTTCATTCATTTTTAATAAATTTAGTTTTTTTATCTAATAAAATAAATATATAATAATTTATTAATAAAATTTTATATTTACCTATAATTAAGTACCTTTTAAATAAAACTTTTTATTTAATATATATTGGAATTATTTTTAAAAAATTATAGGTAAAATAAAAATAAATCATTAAATGACATCTTAAAAATAAAAAATAGATAATTAAATTTAAAAACTTCAAATAAAAAATTAGATTTATTAAAAATTAACAAGGGAGTATTATAAAAGCATCACTGTAAGACAACTTATTTTTTTTTTTTATTTTGGGTTATTTAGTGAGAAAGCAACTTTTTTTCATTCTTTAACTAATCTCATACTACATACTATGCATTCAAATTCAATTTTTTTTACTACTAAAAAATAACAACAAAATTAGTTAAGTTGTTGATATAAAATAACTTAATTTTAAACGGAAAAAGTAATGCTACTAAATTTTAAATGTTGGAATCAAAACCTTCAAGAAAGAATCTTAAATCATTATTTGTTGACACTTTTAGTGGCACTGATAATCTATGGGTAGTAATAATAAAAGGAAAAACAAAATCTTAGCCATTTATTTGGATAAAATTAAAGGCGGTAATTTGGTTAAAGATTAAACTGACATTCGGGATCGAAGAAATAGTTATTTTGCGGAGAAACTACCAGGTTAACGTAGCCGTTAATTGTGGAGTATACGATAACTTTGTAGATAAGGCCGACACAATAGAAACTATGGCTGATTAGAAGTTTATACATCATTGCTAATAATTAGGCTTTGTTTGGAAGTGTATTGCGTTCGTTCTTGTAAATTTAATAATATATAAATAATAATTAAAACATTTTTTTGCTTAAATAAAAGTGTCTAATAAAAATTAAATATAAAAAAATTAATTTTTAAAATAAATTTTAAAATTTAAGAAAGTTTGAATATGTAATATTTTTAAAACTTACTCAAAAGTTAATTCAAAAGCTAATTTTTTAGGACTTTTTTCAAATATTAGAAAAAATCTATTAATTATTAATTTTAATTGAACGGTTTAAATTTTATGAATTATAAATAATAATAATTATTAATTATTAATTATTAACTATCAATTATATTCTGTATCAAGACAACTCTCATAAATTTTTAAATTTATGAAAAAATGATTCAATGAATTCAAGTAGGTTGGTTTTTAAGATTTCCCTAAAGTCTAGCGGCTTTAGCAAGTTCTTCCTAATTCTCAATTGACCTATGTTTGGTACAAAGTGGAAAAATGATTAAAGAAATAGAGATAAAATAAATCATACCAAACTTGCTTACTTTAATATAATAAGATAATTTTGTGTAACTTTAAAATAAAGGTTTCATTTGATAATATTTTTTAATACTTATCTTTTAATTTTTTATATTTTTATTATTTT